AAAATGTTTTTGAATAAACAAATTACAATAGCATCTGTTTAGATGTACTGTATGTTAGTAATTGTGACAGATTTGCTTGCATTTTAGTATTTGTAATTTTACTGGTTTTTGGATGAAGTGGAGTGTAAATGTGTGTGAGAGCTGTGTGTGGGGGTTTTTGCTGCCCTATGTGACCTATGGACTCTATGGTCTGCCACTGACCAGAGGGAAGGATAATACTTAATGTAACTTTAACCTTAATGTTTTTTCCCTTAATAACTGTGAGGATTCTGATTGAAATAATTGCAAACAGCTGCAGCTGCCTTGAAAGGAGATTTCATAATCACAGAAGGGTGCTGACAACTGAGTTAATCACAGATTTTTAGCAGGGCTTGCTACATTCACATTATTCTGGATATATTTAATATGTTTTCTTTCTGAAAAACTCCTTATCTTAGCGTTTTTTTTTTTTCTTCAAAAGTTCCTTGTCACACTGAAATTTCTGAAAATGCCTCAATCACGTTACTGTGCATGCATAAAATGTGATAAAAGCTCAGTAAGGTGATACAGAGAGACCACACATAACAATGTTCTCATGCCATTATTTTGGGCTCCAAAATCTTAACAAATAGTGTGCAGGTTCTCTTGCTCCATGTCAATTTGAGAAGCCATTATTACAATGTCACAACTTCCTTAGACAATCAATTCTAATTCCCTTTGTGGCTATCTCACTCTGCCATGCTCATTCACTGCTCACTGCTCATTGGCTGCCTCTGATTAACAGGCGTTGCAGAAATGACTTCTAGATAATGTTGTGTGAGTCAGAGTCAAATCTCAATTTATGATTAATTTATTAACACACACGCACACACACACACACACACACACACACACACACACACAGCAGTATATGTAGTATATGCTGGTACTTAAAGAACACTGAGTTACTTATATACACTTATAATTTTTTCATTAGTACTGCATCTTTTCCAGCAGGAAATTTGAACAGCTAATGATTTTAAATAAATAAAAATGAAAGTTTTTATATGAATGAAATAAGTCTGATGTTCTTGGGGATCTGGGACAGCGATATTTAAAGTTATCAGTAGGAAATACTGCTCTCTCAGGAGTGATTAAGTCAGCCAGGCAGTAACTGGCGAACTGGTTCCCTATACCAGATGGCAAAGATATTTTCAAACATAGTTCCCTTCTTACAAGTGAATTCAAGAGGTTCAGCAATGAGTCACATTTAACAGATGTTACAGCATAAGTTCTAAAAAAAAAAACGCTAAACGTTTAATCCTCACCTGCAAATTCTTCATCTATGTAATAGACTTCATTACTGTAAAATAACAGTAATGTATTGGTTTTATTGTATTGGTTGTATTATACTTCACGTTAATGTTCAAGCTTTAAGAGACAGCTTTAGGGATGGTAATATCCTGTGGCCATAAATCTGTGGCAAATCTGGCATAAACAGTTTTATTTTTCTAATCTTGTAGAAAAGTCATGCCAGCTATCATAATCCAACACAAACACAACAACAACATAAATACATACAAACAGGGCCTGCAAAATTACTGGAACCACTGACGTGCATTAAAATATAAAAGTGGCTTTATCATTGTTGAATGTTCTTTGATCTGAAAACATAAGAGAAATCTGCCCATTCAAAAACTGGCAAGAAATCAAAGACATACACATAGGCAAGATTAGAGAACACAAATGAATGAGACTGAGTTGCAGGCATTTATAAACCAGACAATGCACTACAAATAGTGTATTGTCCACACAGGAAGGACCAGAGTTGGACAATTGCAGGAGCTTTTAGCATTCTGGTGTCAACAATACTGCAACCTGCAATTAAACACCATCTCCATGCCAACAAACCATTTGGAAGGATTGCCAGAATAAAAACCTTTTGCCCTTGCCAGCTTGTAAGTGCCCAGGGTTTCCTTTTGTTCAAAAAAGGAAATCGGCTAGTATGGTGAAAAACACACAGCTTTCTGGCATAGGTTTAGTGCAAAAGGGTTTGGTGCAAAAGGTGTTATGTTATACAGACAATAACCGAATCTCCCTGTGAGGTATGATTATTTGGTTTTAGTTTCAAAACACCTGGTAATCTTATTAAAATACCTCTAAATGGACTCCAGATTAAATACCAGTTTTGACATCAACATCTGGATGCCAGTGCCAGTAGGCATGGAACATTTTGTCTCGTATGCGTGTATACATATTTCATTTTACATTGTCTGAAAAGCTTGATTCTGACTGGTCAGTTGCGACATTCCGAGGTTTGTTATGCCACGATAATGACCGTTGTCAATAGCAATGCTGAATAACAGACCTCTCATCCAGGTATCTGAGGCAAAAGCATCTCTTATGGCTCTCATATCACACCGCTGACTTGCCCTTTCATACAAATGCATCTGGTACCATATTGCGTCTCACTTATCGGCTGCACTGTCATAAAAAGTGCAAAGATTTTACCTTTAGGGGTATAACAGATTGTCACTGGGGCAGTGCCCTCAAAGGGGCACCTTTGTAAATTCTTTACCCCTAAAGGGTGCATATTAGTATTTCAGAGTAATAATATGTTCCCTTAAAGTAGTAATATGTACTCTTATGGTAAAAAAAAAAAAGCACCATTTAGGGGTAAAGAAGGTACAAAGGTGTCCCTTTGCGGGCATTGCCCTAATTGCTATACTACTAAAGGTACAATTTTTGGACATTTTTTTCTGAGAGTGTAGTAATGCAGTAATAGTAGCAGCGGTTTTCTAATATTGTTGTAGTGTTCGTTTTGTTGCCAGGATGAATGTAACAATGTGCTGTGTAACATGAGAAGAGACTTAAAAAAAAAAAAAAAAACATACTGAGGAGATTTATTGTCCTGGGCTGGGCGCTTCTAGAGTTTACGGTGTATTGCTGATGCACAAATGTTGTATGTGATCTTCATTTAATTTTTGTGTAAACAAAATCCTCAGAAGACAATTAAATTTACTGTGGTAACTAATTTCCATCAAAGAAGTTACAGCTACAGTTAATGTAGTGAAAACATTTCTGTGGGAACTTGGTGTTAACCTCCACTGTCATCTAAAAAGAAAAACATTGTTTGAAGATCCCATATAAATAAATTATCATTTCAGAGTACTAACAATAACAGTTACTTTGGTGAAATAGAGGAAGAAATGTAGGGCTTTGTAAAACTGTTTCACTTAAATTTTACAAAGAAAATGATTTATACCAGTTGTATTATTCAATTATTTTTTTTTCACATTTTGTTTCACTATCCATAAAGAGTACGTCTAGAAATGATTTAATGTACCTTGAGGATATATTTTAGGACTATACTGTCCTCTTCTGGGAGAATGGTGAGTTACAGAAATAGGAGATGATTGGGAACCAGGCGAGTACATTGAGCAATATTGTTACTAGTCTCTCTCTCTAATATCACACATGAATCTTGTTTGGAAGAAGAAAAAGAAGAAAACCTAGTGGAGCCTCAATGAAAAAAAACCAACAAAAAACAAAGATCAAAGCCAACAACACCTCCAAATCGGCAAAGAAGGAAGCTGCAGAATATGTGAACAACTGTATTTGTTTATTTGCAAAATAGCCTCACATTTACTGAATTTTAAATAATTCTGTAATATTTCAATAAACAATAAAACACTTCGGATTTGAAAACCTTTATGGATACTTTTATACTTGTTTTACATTTTCAATAATATTATGGCTGAATTACATCTAATAAAATCAAACGCATGTACATATTTCCCTTTCATGGGAACTTCGAACTGCTAGCGACCCCTAGAGGACGCAGTGTCTCGTTCCCTACTCAGGGAACCATGGTTACATAAGTAACCTGAGACGGTATGCTCTATATACATTTGTTTAAAATGTTTCTTTGACTTGCCATCCTTTGTCTTACTCCAAAGAAAACATATTACAATCATTCCTAGTCTCCAATAAAGGAATTTTGATTTTTATGTTTAAAATGAATAGATTTTTCAGATCTATATAGAATATATTTATTATATACTTGTTTTGCCTGGTTTCTCCTAAGGTTCCCCCCCTTCTTCTCCATTTCTGTCACCAATGGAGTTTGGGTCCCTTTCCACTGTTGACTTTTCCCTTTGTACAAACACTTTTGGAAGAGAACTGAACTGAGCTGGACGATGACATTAATGAATCAATGCTGAACTGACTTTAACTGGAAAATTGACTGTTTTCTATTGTTCTCTTTATAGAGCTGCTTTACAGCATAATTGAATTTTGATTGCATTGTTGAAACATTATTTTCCTGTTTAACACTGTAAAGCTGCTATGACACACTCTGTGTTGTATAAAGCACTATATAAATAAAGATGACTTGACTTGTCTATATAAAAAGTGTCCTTAGAATTCATTTTACTTACTTTAATAGCATTAAATGCCAAATGCCTAGATCATCAGTTGAAATACATAATCACCAGTCCTCACATCATTAACAATCATAACATTTATTTAGAGTACTATGACATATTTCATCCAAAGACAATGTGTGCTGAAAAGCACATGCAGAAATACACATGTACGATACATAAGGGATGATGCATTTGAATGAGACAAACATTAGATACAATACACAATCAAAACATTGTCATGACCTAGTAGATATATTTACTGTAAATATGCTAAATTTTTTTCTTTGTCTTCAGTGTTTTCATTCAAATCCACAGTACAAGACTTTGCTACTGCATTCCTGGACTAAAAAGACCTGTACACTGCCTTTTTGGATAGAATGACATTAAATACAGGTTTTAAACACATTTGGTGTTCTCATCAGGTGTCTTCTTTTTAAGCTTAGCACCGCTGGACCTTCAAGACCTTCAGGATCTAAAATTAAAATCTTTCTTTAGCAGGTACATCTGCATTGACACATCAGCATCTCTCCTGGTTTACAAAACCTCCCTAAGTGGGACACTTGACCTACAGACGAGAACTCAGTGCAGTATAGACGAGAACTCAGTATAAAAACCTCAATAACAAAAGCGCACCAGCGCAATGACGAGGTACGTGAGGGTGATAATTGTCAAAGCAGAGAACAGCAGGAGGAGCCCAGTGAAGAGGACGTTGTTTATGGGTAGCTTGATGATTTTCCCTTCGGCTGGGATCATGTTGGAAAGTGCAAGCATGTAGCCCAGGGACCAGGCTATACTGGTCTTATTTACCTGTGAAACACAAAGAGACATACAGTATGGAGAGGTCCAGTTCACTCCAGAATTTTGATAGACAGAACTGATTTGCTGGAGGGGGAGAGAATATCATTGGTAGATATTTGACATTCATGCACTGATACAGCACATAGGCTACTAGATTTGATGTGTGTTCCTCAAAAATCAGGTGCTAAGAAATGCATTTACTGTGAAAAGACATTTAAAGGATTATTCCTGGTTTATTACACACTGTAAATAATCATGTTTAATTTATTGTGTGACTTGCCATTTCTTTGTAATTATTTGTAAATGTACTAAATTTAGTTTTAGTGTCTTATGTGCAATGTTTGCAATGTTGTAATATGTATACAGTGCAAAACATACAAAATTATTAGAACACAGTATATTTAAGAGGTTTCAGTTGTTTTTGTTGAATTGGCCATTAAAATACCCCTTAAACGAACTATTTTCGAAACGACCTGCGACGGAAGGAATCTGCTGGACCACTGAAAATGATGGACTGGCCCCCTCAAAGTCCAGACCTCAACCCCATCAAATTTGGGGCAAGTTGGAAAATAAACTGGACAGATCTATTGTACATTCAAAAGAAAGCCTTTGGCTTCAGTTGCAGAAGGCATGGGATAACATAGTGTTGAAGTTCTCAGGAAATATATTGACACTATGCCAGAGAGATGTGCTGCTGTAATTGCTGCAAAAGGTGGACATACCAAATATTCAAGTTTAAAGTGGATAAAAACAGTGCGACTCACTTCATCTGATTTTTGTTGTGCTCAGAGCAACCATCTGCATGTTTCATGAACATTATGAAATGAAATAATATTTTGAAGGCCAAAAAAATGGTCAATATTTTCAGATCTGTCAGGTGTTCTAATAATTTTGGCCACCACTGTATATGTATATATGTATGTAATCTATATATTTCATATTGCACAGAAATGGTTAGTAAACAATTATTTCACTTTGTGGCTATAAGAAGTTTGAACTGCCCATGCACTTCCATTGTAAATGCTTTACTGTAAACCAGATTTTTGAAATAAATTTTTTGTGGTAATCAACATTATACTAAAATGCTGTTGATAGAGCTTAACTTGTATTGAACATGGAATATTCATTTAATAGGCTTCTATTGCATAATCTGATGGTACAAAGGTTTACTCTTCTCCTTTGTTCATGAAGCCGTATTAATGTCAGAACTAAAAAGAAAGAAAACAAGTGGATGTGTGTCGGCATATGAAAATGCTTTGAATGCAGATTGATAATATCAATGACATATGACATATTTTCCTCTTTTGATATATATCTGGTTAAAAGCAGTACTGAGTTCCCTATCGATACTTCACTCGTACTGTGTCTGCTAAGACGCTTTGGGGAAAGCAGAGCTGCACGAGCCTATGGCGACACAATTTGGGTGGGGTATCTGGCTATATAAGTGTGTACTTCGAAATCCTCAGATTTCTTCTCCTTCAGCGACAACTAAGTTCTTCGCTGACCTACGAGACTCGAAGCCTCTCGCCGTAGAATCGCCTTCGCAGCGAATCAAGCTGAACCAGCGACCCTCTGCTCGGCTGATTCGCCGCTTCTCTGCCACCTTCAGCGTCGCAGCAGCAGCAGCGGACCAAGCTGATCCCCTGCCGCCATCCGGCGAGCCTAAAAGAGCTTATTTCTAAGAGGTAAGTTCTAAAAGACCAAAATTTCTAGCGACGTTGTTGCAAATGTCGCGCTGCGAGTGTGGCTTGTACACAGAATCTTGCACGATGCAGAAGAGCAGTGAGTGCGTCGCCTGACTGGGCAGCCACCATGCAGAGACTGCACTTCACTGAAATGGAATGCTCTCGCTGAGAGCATGAGTCCTGCTCTTCTCCACTCGCGGACGGCCTTCATTGAAGGCAGCCCCACTCTCCCGTTTATCCTCTTTCAGCGATCCTCGGAGAAAGAAACAGCGGAGTCAAGGAACTAAGCAACCGGGTCTGAGCGATCGCATGCCGGCACTGTACCTGCGTGCTCGCTCTCCCCACTGCACTTTGATCCGCCGCAGAAGGGCAGTGAGCTGCACGCTCACTGAGAAAGAATGCTCACTCAGAGCATGAGTCTCGCTCTTTTCCGCTCCTGGACCGCCTTCAATGAGGCAGCCCCGCTCTCCCATTTCTCCTCTCTCAGCGAGCCTCGGATAGAGAAACAGCGAAGTCTGGGAACTAAGCAACCGGGTCTGAGCAATCTCACGCCGACACAGAGCCTGCGTGCTCACTCTCCCCGCTGCGCGTTGATTACACTGATGTCGCTTACACATGAAGATCAGCGCCCCTCGTTACATCGAGCGGCACTATCTTCCTAGGTTGATCGAAGCAGAACGCTGTCACTGACAGCTTCGAATTTATGGGTGTGTCGCTATGACTGAGCTCACAGAGACGGGCTGCTTTTACCATGAAAGCAGTCTGTCCCTGTTCGTTCGCCGAAGACGGCCCAGCCTCCCCGCTCTCATGTTTCTCTCCTCCCAGTTACCTCGGAGGAAGCAACGGCGAGCTTGCGGGTTGAGTGATCAGGCTTGAGCAATTTCATGCTGGCACACATCATGCGTGCTTGATCTGCCAGTGTGTGTTACACGTGAGGATCAGCGCCCCTCGTTACACCGAGCGGTTTAATCCTCCCATACAGATCAAAGCAGAACGCTGGCAGCTTCGCATTTGTGCGTGCGTCGCTGGGCCCCGCCTCCCCCGCTCTTGTGTTTCTCTCCTCCCAGTTACTCAGAGGAAGAAAGGGCGAACTCGCGGGGATGAGCGATCAGGCATGAGTGATTTAACGCCGGAAAAGCCCCCACGTGCATCACTCTCCATGCAGCTCTTTGATCCGCCAGTGTGTTTACACGTGAGGATCGGCGTCTCCCGTTGTCGAGCGGTGCAATCCTTCTATGACGATCAGAGCAGAACGCTGTCACCAATGATTCAATATTGCTGACAGCTTCGTATTTGAATTAACCTCTCGCCTGGGCCACGCTGAGGCTTCGCTCGCTGAGACAGATCGCTCTCACTATGAGAGTTCATGTCTCGCTCTGCTTTGCTCGTGGCTCATCTTCTTCAATGAAGGCGGCCCCGCCCCTCCCCTCGTCCGCCACGAGCGGATCTGAGAGAATGCGCGCAGCACTTTTGATCTGCCTGAGTGTTTACACTCCTATAGAGTGTTTACACTATACTCCTGTTCTAATGAGTGGTTTGATCTTTTTAGGCCGATTAAAAGAGAATGCTGTTTGCTCGAAGACCCCCGCGATTCAGCGGCGTGGTTCCCACCTCGGTTTAGAGCAAAGACGCACACGTCCTGCGCTCCGAGGTGATGAATTTGCTGGCGATAGGAGCCGTAAAAACGGTTCCCCCAGCTCAAAGCGAGTCAGGCTTCCAAGGCCGCTATTTCCTTGTCCCCAAAAAGGATGGAAATCTAAGGCCCATCCTCGATCTCAGGCACCTGAACCAAGCCCTCATGAAACGGCTGTTCAGGATGATTACATTGAAACAGATCCTCTCGCAAGTGTGCCCAGGGGACTGGTTATTTTCGCTGAATCTGAAAGACACCTA